TTCCTTCCTCTATTTCTGCTTAAGTTCTTGCCCTGATTTCCCTCCATAATGGATTGTGACCTGGGAGTTGTAAGTAAAAAGAAATCCTTTCGTCCCAAGTTTTGATTATGATGTTTCATCACAGCAACATAAAAATAAACTGGAACATTGTTTTACCACTGAAGGATGAATAAAGGAATTTTCTCTGGATCACACAACTGGCAGAGACAGGATTCGTATCTGACCAGCCTAGCTCCTGAGTGTGTGTGTGTGTGTGTGTGTGTGTGTGTGTGTAAGGGTTGCCCTCTTCCCTTTGGCCTCATAGCAGATCTATCTATCCTAGTAGTCTATAAGCAAATCACCGGGTACCATGGTTCACTAGAAGGCCTGGGAAAGTAGGTCTGTCTATAGAGTCTTTCTTTAGATCCCCCCAGACTGAAGCCCGGGCCCACTGCTACTTAGAGTGAGACAGACTTAGGGCAAGGGAGACTGGCAGCCACAGCCTGGGCTGTTCAGACACCCCCAGACTGGAAAACATCCTTTAGCAGGGGAGGGGAGTGTGGATAAGGACATGAAGCCTCTTGCTGTGGTACCTATCATTCTGCTAAGGACAGTGAAAACACAGTCAGTCATACTTGACATTTTAATTGAGAGAAAAGCTTACATAGATTTCAGCCGTAAGCAGTGTGTTTATACAAGTGCATAGAGAGGAGTGATCTGTCAAGTTGGAAAACTCTTAATGCGGCCTCAGTTCGGTAATTGAACAATCCAACATGAGCTCACACATTTACCTTGTTCCATGCCTCAATAATTTTTAGTAGAAATACTTTACCTAGAGGCATATGGTTATTAAAAAGGAGGCTCGGCTCGCTCAAAGTCTGGAATTACTAGCTCATGGCAACAAGCCTGCACCAGAGGAAAGACTGTGGGGCTTTGTTTTCACAACTTTACTGCTATTTTGCGTCTGATTTTCAGAATCTAATTGAAGTGTTGCTGGGAAGGTTCTTCATTTATTTACTTCTTTTTTTTAAAGGGGGGGGGAATAGAATTTCACATGGATGAATGATCTCTCGTATTGGCAGTATTCTGGAATTTCACTACTTAGTGGTTAAGTTCAGGGAGTGTTGTGAGCATCAAAAGAAATGGACCACAAATTTATTTTATCATAAAAATCAATAATAACTTAGCTATGGGAGCCGTGGAGGTGGGAGGAGAGGGAATCTCTGTCCCCTTCCATGATGTGTGTGACTCTGGGCAGATGAAAAATATATCCAAATTTAGTTTACTCCTAAGTACAAGTGGGAATTATATGATCCTACTTATCACTCTGCATTGCTCCAAGTCACATGAAACTGAGATATGAAAACATTTTGAAAATTACTTGAAAACACCAAGTGAAACATAGACAGTTCTATTCAAGAATACTATAGAGTAAATAAAAAAAATTAAATGAATTAATACATGCAAGGGAATGAGATAATGCATGCAACTGTTCTAGCTTCCGTGGTGTCAAGATCCGGGATTAGCTGATGGTTTCTTTGGACCTACTGATGGAGACAATTCTTCATATGCTTATTTGGTGTTTGCTGGTTAGTTTGTTGTAGAGGTTCTCATGCTTGTCTAAGTGTACTGTGTCCTCCAAGTCACATTCCTGGCCCTGAGTTTTTTTTTTTTCTGTAAATTGTGATGGCTATATACAGATCTTACTTTTGTCACTGTTTGTAGTTAAGCAAGGAACCCAGAAAACTCCATTGGATTAGTAGAAGAGTCTGGGGAGGTAATTCACGGAATCTATATAAAACATAACATGGAAATTATTTAGAATTCAAGCATACAGGGATATTGAGTAGTCTTATTTCCTTCCAAGTGTACATTGCTAATTGGGCTGATTGGCATCGCTTGGAAACTCTTCTAATCCCAGGGGAGCCTGGTCCCTTGAAAGGCTTTCTTAAGTAAAGAGGAAATATTTGATATTTTAAAATCTAGGAGATCTATGCAGGGTGTGGAAATAACTAACCTAATTATTGGATTAAATGAAGTATTCCATCCCCTAGTGATTCAATACAGTTGGGAGTTTCCAGCCTTTAGAGAAGAGTGAAAACTCATTTTAAATTAAATTACTTTGCCATTTCTATTCATAGCCATTGGATTGTTTAATTGAGTTCCTTCTTAAAATTAAAAAAAAAAGTCAATAACATCTGGTGACTAAGTTTGTTTTTTAACATATCAGGTTAGGAACAGAAGGTATACGTGCTGCCCTTTGGTCTTGAACACTATCTTTCAGAACAATGTATCATGTAGAGAGGATTTCAGTTGTCTTTCTCTTAAAAGCTTTTATTTTCTCTGAACTGTATTTGAAGGTTCCTCTGGCAACCAACACTTGATGAAAGATGATGTCCACATGTGTATAGACATGTATGCATAGACTTCTATTGGGCTGGATATAGCTGCCTGACTACTTTTGTGGAGAGCTGCTCTTGGTGAATGTTGACTCTTATGAATCTGTAATTCAGATGATGAACTTTGGGCCTGATGGAACTACTAATAAATGTATGCCTGGGTACCACATATGTGCCTGCTGCCCAAGGAAGCCAATAGAGGGTATCAGATCCTCAGGAACTGGAATTCAGATGGTTGTGAGCTTCCATGAGGGTATGGGAATTAAACCAGGGACCCCCAAAAAACGAGTAATTTTCACCACAGAGCCATCTCCCCAGCATCTAATAACTGTTCAACATGCAACTCTTTTCGGCAAAGTTCCCAAACAAACATTCAAATGGGGACTCTTAACAAGTGTCATTATTGACAGTCCCATTCTGTACCTCTCAGGTTGTGCTAGCCACCTCTAAAGAGACTTGGTGACAGTAAAGCCATGACCTCACTCAGCAGTAGTTTTTAACCTTCTGAATGTGATACTCTTGAATACACGTTGTGGCGACCCCAATCACATCATTATTTCATTGCTGCTTCATAACTTTAATTCTGCTACTGTTAGGAATCATAAAGTAAGTCATATGCAGGATGGTCTTAGGTGACCCTCTGTGAAAGGATCATTTGACTCCCAAAGGGGTCACCACCCACTGGTTGAGAAACTGCTGTCCTATAGTGCTATAGTTAGACCCCAAAGTCAGATAGAAGGGTGGAAACCCAGGAACCTTCACACCTTCTCTAGTCCCACTGTTTGGGGTCTACTCGGCAGAGGTCCACAGGGCACATGTCAAGAAGTAGTCTTCCTGATTTATTTAAAATAGTCCTCCATTGTAGTAAGCTTCTTACACTAGCTAACCTACTTCGGTTTTTAAGCGCACATACACTATCAGTGCAGCCCTGTATGTCCACACAACCTCTGTGCCACGCTTTGTGTTCTTTTGTTTTCATAGATGCACCCCTCTGTGTGTATCAGTCTTGACTAATTGATGTCTAATCTTTCTAGGATGCCTGTAACTGTGAAAAACAGTTCTTTTTTCAAAGAGAGCTCTGGGGCAAACAGTGGAAAGCTTAATCTTCCTTGGAATTTTAACAACTATTTGAAGGAAGAACATGCTGGCATTCTTGTCCCATCTCAGCCCCCAATTCTGTTTGGGTCACCAGAGCTTTATGGAAGAGTAGTTCCTTCCACTGCTCAGCTGTGAGTCTGCACTGACCTATGATAATGGGACAGGTCTACGCAGTACCTCGGTGCTGGGATGGGATTCTGGATTGCCTTGTGACACTCTGTTGGGGCTCTAATGGTACCAGGATGCTCTCCCAGGACAGGTTCATGGGTCTCTGCACTGGGCTGTGATGTTAGGCTGAGGCTCTAACTAGGCTGTGATGCTCTGGTTAAACTCTGGCTAGAGCCTTGTGCTGTCAGGAGACTGTGGACAGGACAGGGTTCTCCATGTTGAAGGAAGGCTGTATCCTCTACAGAATCTCTCTAACTGTAGCTTTATCCAGTTTTTGGCAGGAGGAGTCATATGTTTTATTATCTTTAAAAAATGTGGTGGTTCTGGAAGTGGTACATACAGGGTTAGAGTGTTGAATATGGAAGATTCAGGGCCCTTTCTGTTTGCCATTCACTTTAATTTCATGGCCTGAGGTTTATCTAGCTCCAGAGACCAGAAGTACAGGGAGACTGAGAACTCGGCCACAAGGTCACTTATTTGCTATTTTTTAATAAACACAAATAATTCCCCTTCCCCCTCAGCTCCACATTCCTTGGCTCATTAAATCAATTTCAGGCCTTTAATTCTTTTTTTTTTTTTTTTTTTTTTTTTTTTTTGGCAAGTTGAAGTAAGATTTCAAACTATGCATTCCCCTGGGAAATGCTTACTCAAATCCTGCAGATCAGGCCCAAATCAGTTTCTGTCAAACAGCCTAACACCTCACATTATTATGAAATGAGAGATTGGTAATAGGGGGCTGAACTCTGGACTTCCCTAAGAAAGGCTGAGTCCAGTGCCAAGCCCCACGGCCCAGCTGCATTTGTTTGTGGCCTGACTTTGTTTTTTTCCACTCATAGTGAAACTACAAAATAAGTCAAAATAGATTTCTGCCAGGAATACATGAATGGAGCTTGCTCTGTGACTGTGGAATGAGCGTGGACTTAGAGCAAAGCCAGGCAGGGTTCAGGGCAAAGGCGTGAGCTAAAGTGCTAGTGTACCCAGATCCTCAACACTAATATACTCCAGACTCTGAGGCTGGCATAGACTGGGCATTCTGCTACAGATTTTCTTCCTTAGAGGCAGAGGCTATTGGAGACACACCAGCATGTTTCCACTGAGCATCAGTTGGATAACAGGTCAGGAAATGAAGTGGAATTTGATGTATTAACTAGGAAGCAGCAAAGGAAACCAGGCATGTATTTTATTTGTTATTATTTCCCTAATATCCTCAATTATGTGGCTCTCCCATCAGAGGATCTGATCTGTTTGCCTGTGATGTTGGTGTCCCCATTGGTTTTGGATGCTGGGTAACAGACCCAGGCCATCAGGAATAATGTGTATTTTTTGTTTTTTGTTTTTTTTTCTCTTTGTCCCCAGGCCTGTCCCAGGCTCTCTATCATCTCTGCTCCATCTCCACAACAGACAGAGGCAGCCCATGCCAGCCTCCATGCCTGGGACCCTGCCCAACCCTACCATGCCAGGATCTTCTGCCGTCTTGATGCCCGTAAGCATTTTTTGAGGGTGTGGGGTGGGCTTGTAGTGATGCCCCATTAGTACTGAGGTTCTAGAGAAGAAAGTAGAAGCTGAGATCTGAGCCTTCTGGGAAGAAGGCAGAGGCCTCTGAGTGCATTTGGAGCTGTGGGCCGGGTTGCATATCGTAGTCAGATGCTCATCCAGTGTCCTTTGCTGTTCTTTGGGACTTTACTGTGAGGGAGGGTCTCTTTTACCTGTCAGTAACAAGGGAGCCCACAACACACAAGGAATGGGATTTGTTCAGGAGAATCTTGTTTTATAGCTATAGTCAGCCTTCCATCTGTGATCCCACATCCACGATTCAGTCAACATTGAACTGAAAATAGGGACTGAAAACTGCATATTTTCCGAACATGTACAGACTTCTCTCCTTGTTATTATTCCTCAAACGTGGTTTAACAACTTTTTACAGAGCATTACTATTGTGTTAAGTAGGATAATAAGATATGGAATGAATGGGAGGGATATGCAGATTGTTTGCAAATACTGTGGCATCTTGCAGAGGGACTTGAACAATCACACATTTGGGCATTAAAGCAGAGGGTGTTTTTCTAGTGCTAATTCCCTGTGGATACCAAGAGATGACTGCAGCTCTCAGTGCCCATCTTGAAACATATACAGAGTTATCAAATGGATAGTGATGGCTCTAGACAGAACCCAGGGCATTCGTTAAATGATCACACATAATAGCTGGTTATCTGTGTTCATGCACATCATGTTCTTTAAATGGTAGCATATTCTGGGTGCTTGCACTTTGTCAGCACATGAAATGGTCCTGCAAGGAGGTCTGTGGTGGTCCTCATCTTTTGAAAGAAGGAAGTTAGGCCAGTGACTTGTCCATCTGAGAAGCAGAGCAGCTGGATTCTGAATTCAGGAATCCTGTCTTCCGAAGTCTTCTCTTTCAACTACTAAGTGATGGGTGCATTCTCTTTTCACTCACAGAAAACCACTGAGGTACATACTTGTATACTGGGGTCTCAGGTGGGAGAGTGGAGGCTCACAGGGTTCTGTGCCCTGGCTAAGGGTGCACAGCTGGTAGGTGATAGTTGAAATCTAAATCTAAGTAGTCTGACTCCTGACTTCTTGGTTTTTGTTTGAAATTGGGTCTCACTATGCAGCTCAGGCTGGCCTTGAACTCTCATCTCTGACCCTTGGTACTGGGTTGCAAAGCAAGTACATTACACCTGACCTTAAGAGTTTCCATTCTTAATTAGCACGTGTTGTTGGGAGATGCAGTGCAGCACAGTAAGTCTGGCTTTCTTATAGGATGCTCTTTCTTTCCATTTTCCTCAGTCTCCTGGCATCATGCTTTAGTGGACAGGACCACAGGAACTCTTGAAAGCCCTAGAAGCAGTATGATAAAACAGTCAGCAACCCTCCTCAACACACTGAGCACTAACACTTCAATTTTAGCATCTTAGGGCCTTGTTAACATGGTTGCCCCACTTTGTGCTCACGGTGAGCCCCAAGGGAATTCTGTCTCGGTCACTGTAATTTCTGAAAAGCCCACTTACAGATGAGAAGCCAGAGGGTAAGCAGTTGAAGTCTTAATGTCTAATGGAACACTATATATGAGTGAAGTGTATATGAACCCACGTCTCATGTCACACCGAGTAGCTCCGAATATCCCCTATTGAGCACTTGGCTCCGTTAGCACTGGGGCAGGCTGAGGAATGGAGAAGATCATGTGGTCGCATTCAGACAAATGGACCTGCAGACATCAAATGCTCTGTGGTCCATGCTGGAAGCTCTTTGTAATCTCTAGCTGGAGGATAGATGGAGGATCTGGTTATTCTCCGTAGACTAGTTGACAGAGGAGAACAGCACTATCAATACATAAACCCCTGGTTTCCTTCAGTTCAACTAATTTCATGGAGATTTCAACTACAGGCTGTCCTCACTCAGCTTCTAGGTCCCACTTGTCTCAATTAATTTTATTTTCAGAATTTCTACACAACTAGAGAAATACCACTTGGGAGATCTTTTGTTTCTATTTGTTTAAGTTGTCTTATCCAGGGATGTGGTGGGAGCTGAAAGCCCTGAAAACCTAGTACCACTTTCCACTTTATCCTGTCACACAGCTGGACCCACTGTTAATGCTTTAGGACAGAAAGAAGCAAAAGATTCAGATGAATGGGTAAGAACCAATATAGACAAAAAGTCAGGAACATGGCCCCTGCAGAAGTTCCCATAACACATGACCCATATGGTGACAGCCCTGTCATCTATCATCCAGAGCTGTGACTCACACTGAGGTTGGGAGAGAGAGTGTGCCCCTCTGGGAATAGCAGGCGATATCTGGAGACACTATTGGCTGCCAAAACAGGAATGGAGCAGGAAGTTTGGTGCATAATGGGTGGGAGCTAAGGATGCTGTTAAATGTCTCACACTATACAGAACACTCCCATAACACAGAAGTATTTGACTTGACTCAAGATACCAATAGTTCTGGGCTCAGAGATGCTGAAGTTAGTCCTGAAAACTGAAGTCAGTTCTCAAAGGAATACCCCTCGGGTCCCCAGACCCTTGAAATTCGGGCTCTTCTTCCTTAGTCATGTTGCCTGCTCCTGTGCTGCGAATGTCTTCTGGACTGCCAGTCAGAGACTACTCCTTCCCTCAGAGTTCCCATCCTAGGAAATCTTGAGACCCTGGGCTTCCAAACTGAGACTGTCTTTAGGTGAAGGTGAAGTCTTAATTGTTTCAGAATGTATGCTTCCAGGACACACTCTTCACAAAACCTAGATTCAAAGTACATGCTATTCATCCATTCATCCATTCATTTATTCATTCATGCTATACACTTTGTTGAGCACTTTCTGTGTACCAGAAACTGCTAGATGCTAAGGATATAAGGGAGTACCTTCAAGGACTTCCTGAGTAGTGATTTTCTAACATCTTGAAAATCAAATGCCTCTATACTTTGGGGAAATGCATACCCCTTTATCGTTACAAAGGCTCCCTAACCTGTGGACTTTGTAGCCCTTGCTTTCTAGGGCGAGAAGAGAGGGGAATCCTTAACATGGGTGTTTTTGTGCGATTGGAGATGGGGCCCATGGCTTCCACACATTTAGTGAGCTCTCTACCACTAAAGGACACTCTAACCCTTGCCTGGGCCATCACTCACGGTGGTAAAATGCTGCTGGGCATTCAGCAAAGCCACTCCGCTTCCTGTCAGCTCTGTAAAGGCAGGCTACGATGCAGGCAGGCCACGGGCGTAGCAAAGCCCTGGGTGCTCATTTTAAGGTGATGGCTTGCTCTCACCTTAACTGACGGTAATCAGCAAGATGGCAAACCCAGGTTTTCTTTTTAACAGATGCACAAAGTATTTTGTGTAATGGAGTAGAAACAGTCCTAAACAACTACTCATTTTTTTAAAAAATAAGCGGATTGCTGACTCCTGGCCAAGAAGCCACAAGGTGGCTGCTCTCACCGCTGTGTAGCTGGAATACTTCATCCTTCTAGAACTGGGAGGCAAAGCTCACCTAGGCTTTACTTTCTCTCTTGAAAAGAGCCTTCCTTGGAATAAAGGGCCCAGTGCTGCTCCATCCCTCTTATTGCTTGGCCTCCGTGGGTGAAAGTTCTACATAAGGTGCATTCCTTGAATCCTTCACAACTTAATTACAGCCTGTGAAAATGTTCCTAATGATACTCAACTGGAGAGCACTTAAAACAGGTTAAATGGTACATTTTATGTTAAGTATATTTAATCACAACGCAAATGATTTCAAAATAGAGTACCTGCGCTGCCTGAAGAACTAGCACACACGGGAGCAGACATTTTATTTTGCTGAATTGTCAAGGCCTCAGGAAGTTGGCCTTCATTAACTTCTCTTGACATCTTTCCCACACCCCTGCTGGATAGCAGGTCAGCTGATCCAGGCTAAGGGAAGGCTGGTACCCTCCTTAGCAGGCAGCTTTTAGCTGGCCCCACTCGACTACAGCACACTAACCAGGTCAATACCAAAGAGATCACAGCACTGAAACCTCAGCCATCTAAGCCACATTTCCATGGCTGTTTCACACAAGCTTGCCCTATAGGGAAGTTCCCACACTCCACTCTGAACCTTCATTGATAAGAAACTCTTTACTTTCCAAAGTCACACAGACTAAGTTAGGGAATGGGGAACCACATTTCCACTCTTTGGGAGAAATGCACTGAACCATCACTCTGGCTCCAACAGACAGTCTGGTTATTTTCTCCATGATATACGTGTGTTTGATTTCCCGCTCCTTTGAACAGGAACTGTTACTGATCACAAGCATCCTTTCCGTATTGACACAGAAGTTATGCTATACAAGTTAATTAATCTGTAAATTCAAAATCTGAAACCTTTTGGGGGACAAGGAACACTATAATTTAGTATATTAACTATAAGTTGTATATATAAGAGGTACATGAAATACTAATGTTTAGACATCGATTCCATGCCCCAAATATCTAATTATGTACATGTAAATGTTCCAAATTCCTAAAAGGTCTAAAATTGAGAAAGGCATCTATTCCAAAGTAGTCAGGTATGGTGCCCTCAACCTGTAATTACCTATAGGATACCCTGAAGATGCCAGCGTACTTACTGTTCAGGTATTGCAACACTATTAATTCTAGACACTGATAGGCAACTAGTCTGTGTGTGTGTGTGTGTGTGTGTGTGTGTGTGTGTGTGTGTGTCTGGGTGCCTGAGTTGGGGGAAAAGACTCTTGTTTTGTTTTGTTTTTGAGACAGAGTATTACTGTGTAACTCGGGCTGGCCTAGAATTTCAGTAGCTTAGGGTACCTCTGAATGACGATCCTCCACCTTTGCTCACCAGGTGCAGAGACTTTTGCCACCATGCAGAGGGCTGTGTTGATTTGCACTGTAACAACAGAGAAAAGCACTACAGGGGACAAAGCTGCTTTAAAATTAGTTTTATTTTCCTCTCGTCAAATGATTTGTGTTTACTATATAAAATTTCAGGTAAAAGAATGCCAAAGGCATCCTAAGGTAACCATTTGGTACATTGGATAACTTTTTAACATTTTTATATACATATTATTCTTTATAGCAACAAAGTAAGTATGATTGGAGATGGCTGAAGTATATAGTGAAGTAGAAACATTTGGTAATTTTCTTTGGCCATGTCTGCCAGACGGGGAAGTTCCTTTTGGCATGGGGAATCTGCTATGGAGCACATAGAACTGGGTGATGCTTTGATGTGCTCCAGTTCAAGATTTGAGAGTGCATTATTCCCTGCACCAAGCCTGTGGTTTCTCGACTCTTCAAAGAAATGCAGAATGACCTCCCCCAGCCCTGACCAAAGCAAAGAGAAGCTTTGTCAGTAGCCTCTGCTACCCTTCTCAGTCTTCTGATTGAGTCACTTTCCTTCCTCATAGATGGAGAGACAAATGTCAGTGAACTCCAGCATCATGGGCATGCAAGGCCCCAACCTCAGCAACCCCTGTGCTTCTCCCCAAGTCCAGCCAATGCATTCAGAAGCCAAAATGGTAAATAAGACCTTCGGTCATCCTTTTGTTACAGCGCGCCTGGTTATAACACCAAGTTCTGGTGTGATTCCAACCCCGGTTAAGAGAGCATGCGCCCCGTTCTTTGTTCTGGTGAATAGGTATTTCCAGGGAAAGGTGACTGAGCGATGGGTTTTGTCTTTTGCAAGTATTTGCTATAGGTTTCCTGCATCAGATTCTCATGACTCAAGCACAGGATTGGCATGTGGTGTTAAGGAAAGGGTGTCCAGAAATTTGGGGAGGTACATAGGAGTTAGGGTAGAATATGCCCAACTATGTGTTTATTTGCTCATTGTGTGAAATAACAAAATATTACAGAACTCTATAACCTAGTTATATCTTTGATGTCACTCTTCCTACCCAATGCCATTAAAACAGATTTTTAATTCCTATGTGTCCACTGTCATAGGAACACTGATTATTATTATTAGTGGTAGTAGTAATAATAATATTATTATTTGACATAGCTCTCAGATGTGACCCTTTTTTTGAAAGGATAGTAGTCTTCTTTTCTGGTTATCTGTGTGGCATGATCACATTTGACAACCTTCAGTGACCTTTAACCTATGATGTTTGGGGGTAATATGGCCAGTCTTTCAATACTTGGAGATGGATCTGTGTGTCTATATTCTATTAGATCTTAATAAAGGAGGTTCTTTTTCTCTCTTACTTAGTAATATAAAGTAGATTTTCTGATACTATTTAGCGGAGTTACAGAAAGTAGCCATTCATTTTTAATATGGTTAAATTTCATCAGCATGGTTCACATCAGATGGCGGGAATGCATCATGGCATTTCTTTTCTTTATGTTTCTTTTTTCTATATCAGATAAGGGTGGTACTTTCTAGAAGTAGGTATGTATCGGGTATGCCAATGCTGATTGGCAGCATTGATTGTGTGTGAGAATTGGTGTGAGGATACTGTGGAGTATTCTGAAAGTTGCACATCATGCACATGAAGGGTGGGATCTGTTTTAATACTTCCCATGGCCTGGCCTGCCTTGTCACTTACTTTGGGGAACCTAACACATTTGACTCCAGGACAGTGCTGGCTACGCTGGGCAAATGGAAACTGTGGTCAAGTGGACTCTTTTTGCTCCACCACAGGCTCTGTGATGTGCCAGATGGCACAGTGTCCACAGCAAAGCTTGCTAAGTCTTTTTGGAGTCGGCAAATATTTTTCAACTCAAGCCCCACGTAGCCAAACCAAATACTTGCTGGCAAAATAAAGTTCAAACTGGCATCTGTTTTGGAGACCAAAGCAATGCCATTTACGTACCCCCTCTTTTTAAAGAAAAATAAAAATGCACTATAAAGGTGCTTATGAAAAAGCAGAATTAAAATTATTGTACGTGTTTGAGCAAATGGGTCAGGGCTGTGTCTGGCATCTTCTGTCCCCAGCTACAGGGACCCGCAGTCTTCTTACTGCTATGAGATCAGTGTCCCTTTCAGACACGCTAGAGATGAGATGTAACATATGATTTCCAAACATGTGTCCCTGACAATTGATTTTCACTGGATCATAATGTTACCATTCAACAGAGAGAGACAGAGAGACAGAGAGAGAGAGAGAGAGAGAGAGAGAGAGGGAGAGAGAGAGAGAGAGAGAGAGAGCCTACCTCTCTTTTTGCTTCCAAAAGTGGCACAGGTTTATAATTATTTACATGCATGAACTGAATCACATGACATGGCAAATTAGTTGTGAGCAATGTCAGCTGGGAACAAAAGGGACTTGGTCTGGTCTTAAAAGAATGGTGTTGCCCCACAGTATTTGCTGAGTTAAGTTAAGCGCACAGAGTAAGCACGCCACTCTGCTGATTCATGTTCTAAGTGAATAAGCATTTCCAGGCTGGTGATGTCTGGACTCATGAACCTGGTCTCAGAATCGGTGCCTGGGAAACAGGACTTCTCTCTCTGTTCCCAGCTGTTACCTCTGTCGCCCGTCTATGACCAATACACTATTCCAAAGGGGAAAAGAGCAGTGTTGGCTACTGATGCTTGGGAGAATAGCATGAACTATTCCATAGTGTCTTGGAGAAGTGTCAGGTGGACTTGGTCACATTGGTCAGCATTTCTGTTCTTACTCCACTTGCTCTGCTGACTGCTCACTCAGTTCTTGCTATCTATTAACCATACAGTCTTTTCTAGCAGCTTTCGGACTGCCCAGATGAAAAGATTTTATGAAATACCAAGCAGTAAGGAAAAAAAATCTTCCATGATTTTAATGTCAGCCAGAGCCTCCCCAGGTTTCTCTGAACTCCAGGCTTTGTTGTTCTTTGCCTAATTTTCTTCCTGTGTGAGACTGGAATGGATTCCAGATTTCAATGGAGACTCTTGTTTCACTGTTTTCAAGGACTTTTCCTAAGGTCACACATGGGCCTTTGTGATGAATGTCCTCTTCAGGCAGGGTGTGTTCTCAGAGCACACTAGCTAGCAACCAGCTCCCCAGGAGGTGTTGCCCTCACCTCCCTACAGCAGCCTGACTCTTGTGAGGATTCATTTCAGAGCCTCGGGGCTCCCAAAAGCCACCATCCTGAATTTGGAGGTGGTCAAAATCAAGACAAGGCTTATTTCCATGCACAGCTTTGCTAGAGGCTCACTGACCAGGGATCACCCCTTAGAATGCTCCCCTTGCTGGATATCATCCATTCTCTGCTGAGAAAATTGAGGATCTTATCAGACTCAAAAGTGCACTGTTCTGGGATATCGTAACTAAGGATCATGTGTGTTAATCTTTGATTTACTGTACCTCTTTATCATAGTACTGACTAGTTCTCCATTAAATGTTGTATAGGTTCTTACCTAATGTTGAGGCGCTACACGGATGTACAAGTGCATGCATACATATTGGTTTCCATTAGGGGCTCATAAATAGACTAAAGTCACCAAAATCCTTCCATCCATCCATCTGTCTTGCTTTCTTTTCTTTTTTGTTCTTTTTTTTTTCCTTTTGAGACAGGCTTTCTTTATATAGCCCTGGCTGTCCTGGAACTCCCTCTGTAGACCAGGCTAGTCTTGAACAGGCAGATTTGCCTGCCTCTGCCTGTGCTGAGATTAAGAGTGTATGCCACCACCACGTAGCACTTCATTTATTTGTTTGTTTTAATGTGTTTGGATATTTTTGCCTGCATATATGTCTATGTATCTACCATTGAATCAGAAGAGGGTATTGGATCCCCTGGACCCAGAGTTAGAAACGATTGTGAGCTGCACTGCAGGTTGTTGGGAATCAAATCTGTGTCCTCTGTAAGAGGAGCAGGTGCTCTTAACCACTGAGTCATATCTCCAGTGTCCCCTTCCATCTCCCTAATCACCCTAAATTACAGGATCTTCCCCCACATTCTTAGGTTCTCTGTGTCTTCATTGGGCATGGGGTCTGCAAAAAAAGGAAGTCACTAGGGACTTGGTAGATATTTTTAACATTTAAAGGAGAAAGGGAGAGAGGTGGGAAAGATTGGGGTGAGCATGGGGAGAGAGAAAGGGGGAAAGGGAGGGAAAAGGAGACAGAGAAGGTGCAAAGCATCATGGAACTGGCACCATTCCAGTCTGCCCTACTGAAGTGAAGAGGGTGAGTGAGCATGACATTCTCAAAGTTAGGAAAAGCCATTCCTGTCCTTTGCTATCTCTTCACCTCCCTTACTTGAATGGTCTTATAAATGTCTCCAGTTCTTCTTTTATTTTTGTTATGTTTTGAGAAAGGTCTTAAGTTACACAATCTTACCTTGAACTCTTTAGGTAGCCTAGGTTGGCTTCAAACTTTGGATTTTTTTTTTTTTTTTTGGCTCAACTTCCTAAGTATGTAAGATTAGATTTCTTTTAGTAGGAATTAGACAAATTCTATTTAAATGGAATTTTGTTGTAAAGTGATCCGTAGTAAGTCTGGAAGCTGAATGAACTGTAGAGAGCTGAAGGAACTTCTCTTCTCCGTGTCCCTCTTGATGAGGTGACGACCACAGTGTAGAAGCTAGTTAAAATGAGACGGCACAGGGCTCTCTGACTGTCCTCAGAGGTTCTGACTGATCTGTTGGTTTCCCTTCAGTTTGAACAGGGTTACTGAAGGCTGGAGAGTATTGCTTCTGGGGAAAAAAAAAAAAACCAGTGTGTTTGACTGTGTCTGACTCTGTCCCAAGAAAGCACATGACAGAAATATTGTCCCTACTTGTTAGCCAAATGAAGAGAGGTTTAAAAACTAGATGAATGGCACATTATTTAACAAAACTAGTCTCCAGATTCAATAACAAAGATATTTTTGTTTTGATTTGTTTGACATAGAGTCTCATGTAGCCCAGCTGGCCTTGGATTCCCTAGGTAGCCAGGGTAGCCTGTAAAATGACCTTGAAGTTTGGGTCTTCCTGTCTCCATCTACCTGAATACTAGGATTATAGATATGTACTACCCTTACCTGATTTATGCTATACTGAAAATTAAACCCAGGGATTCCTGTGTGCTATGCAGATACAATGACAAGTCTTTTGATTACAACACCGAACTTTCAGACAAAAATATGACAGAGTTAGCAGATGTCAGCACCTTGGATTAAATCATTCTCTTTCATGTACATTTATATGCAGATGGTGGGGCACTGTTAGTTTGGGCCTGCAGATCAACATGTCAGAGTTAGTTGGAATATCCGCATCCATTCATTCTTCAAGAGCTTGGCGGTCCAGTTCTGCTGCTGCCTCTTCTGCCCTACACATCTTGTCTTTACTTTTTACAACTTACACGCACACATCTCCCTCACTTGATTGACTGGAAACTTTTCAAAGAGAATTCTTGAACTATGAAGGCTCCTGGAACTGTAAAAGGCCCATGAATGAAAACCGAATTTAACTAGGCTACATCAAGTGTGGTTTAAATCACACGAGAAACCAACACTACTAGGATGGGTGAGATGGAGCTGGTAGAGAATAGAGATGGAATGGGAAGGGAGAGAATAAAACTAGATAGATTCTAAGCTAAGAGACGAGCTGGTCGAGAGTAGCC